TGGGCAAAGAAATGTGCCAAGTATAAGAAGGTTAAATATTGTAAGGAAAGAAAATCAGTTAAGAAATGTTGTCTCATTAAGAAGAAATTCTTCTGTGCCAAACATAAGATTATCAAGTTCTGTAAGCACAAGAAGACTCTTTCTAAATGTGTCAAATATCAAAAGAAGAAGTATTGTGCCAAGACAATTGTCATTCCTCCAAGATGTATCAAGAAGAAGTATTATAAGAAGTGTTTGAAACGTTCAAAGGGAAAGAAGATTTGTAAGAAATTTAAGTTAGTTGGTGGAAAGAAGAAGTGTTGCAAGTCAATCAAGAAGAAGATTTGTATCAAGAGAAAGACATGTAAGAAGTCATCAAAGCCAATCATCAAACCATCTTTGTAAATGATTATTTTCAAATGTTTCTAATACTTTAATAAAGCAAACTCTTATTGCAAAACAATCGCAAAGGACGCAAGTCAGTATTAAAAGACAAAACATCCTCCCATGCCGGGAATTGAACCCGGACCTCCTGGGTGAAAGCCAGGTATCCTAGCCATTGGACTACACGGGATTTCTGACTACCATATTTCCCTTATTTTATAATAACGGATGTCTTACCTTATTAAATATATTAATTGATTATTTATGAATTTTTTACCCAAAATACTTTTTATCTAGGTGATCAATTTCAAAATGAATAAATGAACTAACTCGTCCTCTCTTTTTCCAATCACTCTCTCTTACTGACTCGAAAGACGACGTACCTCACAGTTCATACAGTCAAAGACTGTAGCGGGACAGTCGCCATATTCCTGGCAGGCTTCCCGTCTAAATCATTAAGTGAAATCAAAAAATCTATTTGCTATTTTGTTTGTAGTGCATTAAGGGTAAGGATTTTTATCTAATTTAATTGTATGTATTCCCTTGTAATTACGTGCAATAATTAACATTTGTATGTTATTGCTTTCATTGTAGTTGTCTGTTGTTTGGCAATAAATTATTCTTTTTTAGTACCAAAATATTTGGATTTCCAATAGGAAAATGAGCTCATTGTTGCTTGAATGAGAGTATCAAATTCATTGTATAATATAATTCCTAGAGCAGCAAAACTACCA